TGGTAAAGACACTGAAGCTCAGGGCTATTCTAGGAATGTGGAGCTATCATCTTTACTCCAGCTGATCAGCAACCCTACCTCCTTGACCTCTGCACATTCAATATGGGGGACCCCTCCCAACCAGCCCCATATCTTTATTCCACCATATCCCTTTCAACTTTAAACTAATCGGATTATAGATGTAATGTTCAGAGTTCCTCTCCTCCAATTCCATCGTAGACCTTCTCCAATCAGATTCCTGCCACTTGCACTTGACTGTAACTGCTCTTACCATAGTCTCTGATGACCTCTTTTCCTATACAAAGCTCAGAACCAGTACTCCATCCTCATCCTTCTTGACCTGTCAACCCCTCTGGCACAGTCAACCATACTCCTCTTGAAATCTTGTCCTGCCTTTGCTTCCATAACTCTGACCTGTCCTGGTTCTCTTTCACCTCTCTAATTATTCCTTCTGCATATCCTATGGAGGTTCCTCCTCATCTGCCTCGATCTTTCTGTGGAGAGCGGAGGGGAGTCCACAGAGCTCTATCCTTGGTCTCTTTATCTTCTCCCTCTACAATTTAGGGTAATCTCAACCACAAATTCAACTACCATCTCCATGCCGATGACTTACGGATCGACCTCTCTACTCCAGACCTGTTTCCTTTCTGTCCCAGCCTGTCTCTCTCTCTGACATCAAGTCATTGATATCTAGCCATGAGTAAAGCTCAACATCACTAAAACAAAGCTCCTAATCGCCTTAATCCCTATTACTTCCTTTCTCAATCACTGTGGACAACACCACAATCCTGCCAGCCATTCAGGCCCATAACCCGGGCATCATCTTTTTAAAACTCCTCCTTAAAACTCTCCTTTGCCATGATGCCACAAAAAAACATAACAGTTGGGCCACTGGTGCACCAATACACCAGTGTATGTATTGCCTCTATGCTGACAAATATGATTTCATTGTCTCCTTCTACTCACCAATTTGTCTGTCTTCAAATGTTGTCTCTTATCTTATATTTAGCTTGTAAGCTCTTTGGGGCATGGACCATTTTGTTCTGTGTTTGTACAGTACCTAGCCCAACTGGGTCTTATCACAGGGTCCACTCACCATGGCGGCACTTCCTGGTGGCTGTCACAGGGATTAGCTCTGCCAGCCAGTGCACCCTCTCCTGGTAGTGCCTCTTCCATCATCATCTACACCTGCAGATCTGCCTCAATCCAAGTACTGCAGCATCCTCTTCATGACTCAGCCCTCAGGCCAATCATCATCTGTATTTTCCCCTTCCAGGTTTCAGTCAATTATTCTAGCCACTTCCCCCAGGGCTAATGGGGGGGACCCAGGCCCACCCACTACTCCAGGTCCTAACGCAAGGAGCCTGTAGATAGCAGCCTCCTGCTGAGTCTCCTTAACTTCCTTCAATGCTGCTTCAATTCCCTAGGCCACTTTCCCACGGCAGCAGGACCTCCTTCACCCTTTCCTCAGAGCTTTCAAGCTAGCAAGTCCCAGCAGCCAGCCAGGTCCCCGGGTCCCTGCCAGCAACTGCTCTGTCCAAGGTGCTATCCTTGCTGCAGCTTGCTAAGAACACAGTCCTCGCTCCTTGGGCTCCCAGCTGCAACTGACCCTTGCTCTACCCTGCAGCTCCTTTTGTACTAGCCTGCTGGGCCCTGATTGGCAGCTCTGTACAGCCTCTCTCCTATTGGCTGCTTCCTGCACAGCCTCTCTAGGCTGCTCTTTTATGGGACAGAGTGTGGAAGGCTCATGAGGCCTCTATTAACCCCTTCTATTCTTGTATGGGGTAAACGAACACCCCATCACAGGTCCTGATCCATGACTAGTGTCCATGTTCCTACTGCTATTATTATTACTACTATTACTACTACTAAGGGGCTATCCATAAATTACATAACACATTAAAGGGTCGATGGGTCCTTAATTGTGTGTGTTCAGTATTAGAAAGTTTTACAAGGGACAGCTGGGTGGGTCCTGAAAATCCCCAAAAATGTGTTATGTAACTTATGGACAGCCTCTAATAATACAGGACCTTCAGAGGTAGAAAAAAAGAAATGAATGCTACCCAGGAAAGACACATATACACAGCACACAGCACCAGAACCACAGCACCACCTTGATTTCTGCTCATCATTTCACCAGCACAGCATCATTTCTAGGTCCTACCTTCAAACAGAAAGAAAAGGTAGTTCTGGGAATCAAAATACAGGAAGTGATTCTCCCTGCTCCATCCCCTATACGTTGCTCCTGAAGTCACAGCAAAAATCTTACCCAGGATCTGAATTTAAACCATTTAGTTAAAAGAGTTTGGGGTTTTTTAGGTAAATTAAAACAAACAAACAAACAAAAACCACCTCACATATACTTCCGGACTTATTTACAAAGAGTGGTATGGGTCAATAACCATGTTCTAAAGTTACACAGAAGAAGATTCAGCATTTTTAATAAAGTTAGAGAGGTAGAGTAAATAAAGTTTCATTATGGGGCATTTCATCCAGCACTTGTCTAATGTAACTACTCAGACTGGCTTTGTAGTCCTCCTACTTGTTGAATCAGAACAATTCTTAATACATCTTCTGATACAAATAGGGACATAGTAATCGTTCCATCGGGACACTGCAGACATTTGTTAAATGCATAATATAATGTGTAACTAAATATCACTGTTATCATAACTAAAGCCTCAAAAATAGGGGTCTGAATGTTTGGGGACCCAGTGATTTAGTGATATGACTGAACTTTTCACCATTAGCTTAACTGATCTGAATTCAGCTCAGGTGAGTAGTAACCAAGATTTATCTGATGGCTCTTCAGTGACCTATGCAAAATAATTGTAATGGTCAGAGACAATGTCCACTTCAAAGTCAATTACACAACCGGCATGCTTATTGAGAGTCTCAGAAGAATGGCCTGGGTTCAAATGCAGATGAAAAATTAATTGCCTTCTCTTTAAAGGGGAAGACCCACTGTACTGGACTTTCTCCTGCACAGAAGAAAGGGACATTGATTTTAAGAAAGGTACTGTTGCCCATTCTTACCTGCTCTGTGGATAAATGGTGGACTTCAATCTCCAGGGATCAAATAGGCCACCACCTTTCAAAATTACCATATTCACAAGATTTTTAAAATTAACTAAAGCCTTGACAGCTATTAAATGATCTCCTTATTAATAAAATAAATTAAGTGATGGTATTATGCTTGGCTTATACTATGTACATAATAGGCATTTTTTTAGTTAGTGCTTTACTATAAATAAAATACCTGCAACATAAACTGGAACTCTCTTCTTTCTGCTTCACACTGCTCTAACTGAAACCTGAACTCCTTTAATGCTGTCTCTCTGATTTGCAATTCCATCATATTCCTCTGCTCCTTGTGATGCTCCAGAGTCTCCTTGATGTAGATAGTCTTGTTTTATTATCAAATCTCATGAAAAGTTTTAAAAATCCTATTTAAAAGTATTACATATAATAATATCAAATCTACTGTGCCTCAAAGAACCATTTAATCCTTGCTGTCTAGCCTTACAGACATATAGACCTTGGCTGAAAGTGTATTTAAAAATTCACTTCCATGACTAGTGTCTTACTAGTAGGCTTACATGGATTGGAATTTAGCGTCTGGGCTACCCAAGACCAAGAATGCTTCATGTTACTTCTCAGAGCTAGCTCAGGAATGGAGTTGATTGGATTGGAAGAAACCATGTCCAGCTGTTCTCAGCTAAATGTGAAGTCTTAAAGGGAGAAATAAAAGAGGAAAATGGGAATATCCAAGATTCTCCCCCCTTGTCTAAATACATGAAGATGGGCTTTAAAGGAGTGATCTGCTCTTTTTCTCTCTGGCTATGTCATGTTTGTTGACAGTCACTTCTTCACTTCACAAGAACCCCTGTGGCTCCATTCCTTAAAAGCATAAAGAACATTTATGTATTCAAATATAAATAACAACATTTGAGGGGAAAGGATCTAATATGTCTGTAAGTCAGTTTTATGTAATTTGGGACCACAAACACTAAAATGCCTTAATTATCAGGCAGGCCTACATTTGAACTGGGAGATATGATTTAGCTGAGCTGCCACCCGTGTTACCCCAGCTACACTGCTATTTTTAGTGCACTAGCTTCAGAAGACTTAATGCTGGTATATCTACACAAGCTGGGACTCACAGCTCCAGTTCAAATGCAGATGTACCCTGTTGCACAGTTATTGCAAGGTGTCACCACAGGGCACAATAAAGTTGTTTGGGTGCCTTAACTGTGTATTTTCATATCTTAATCTGTTTGGATATCTGTTAAACATAACCTTAACTTTTAATTTCCAGGGTTTGTACTGACTGGGTATGGAATAATTACATCCTTGTTACGTTTTTTTTACCCTTACATTGCTTATACATACTCTCAATTTTAACTCCATTTTAACATTTTTTGTTGTTGTTTTGGAATACAAATTAATGCAAAGACTTATTTGAAGAGCAGCATGCAACTGCAATATAAGAAGAAGCCTGACAATCTGTCTTGATGTACTAGGCGTTTTTGCCAAATGGCAGGACATTTTGACACCAGCCACCACCACCTGCAGAAATGCTAACATAGACAAGGCATTGAAAGGCATCAGTGTCTTAACCACTGTGTCATCCTGCTCTGAGTGTTTAGATCACGAGCAACTAACTCGAGCCCTATCTACACTAGTATTTCCACTGTAACCACCAGTGGAGCTTCTCACCATTTCATACAGGCCATATACAAAATTCATTTTTTTAAAAGTAAGTAACTTTGGAGACTTTTTTATATAAGAATCAGCAACTCAGGAGTTGTATATTGCTACAGTATAACCTTCAAAAGGAAGAAAGATTGTACTTTTGTAAGCCTATGCTAAAATATTTCACATTCTATGGAACATTGTCTGAATTTTTTCTTTTGTTCAGAAAAAAATTATTCACGCACAGATAAAAGTCCAGACATTATTACGTCACTCTGTTCATTACTTATATTTAAATATTATACCTGTATAACGTTTTCCAGTTTAGTCCTCTCCTTCAGAAGTAACTCATATTCACTATTACAGGTCTTGAGGATGTTATCTTTCTCCTCTAAATCATTTGTAAGTCTTTGCTGCTGTTCCTTCCAATTCTGCTGAGAAATATGAAACACTTTCTCGGTCTCAGCCAATTTCTGTTGAAGCTCTGCATTCATGGCTATTATTTAAAAGAGAAACATCATCTGCTAAGTTAACTTTTTGTTAAAGATGGTAAAACCAGTGTTAGCTCTCCTATGTATTCCGATTCTTTAAGCATATAACAGAAAAAGGGTTAGAATAGTAATGATTCTAGAGCTGTAGATTACTTTTGATCTATACTGTAGCAATAATATCAATACTTTGCAGTTCTGTAGCATCTTTCGTACAAAGATCTCAAAATGCTTTACAGACTTTAATAAATTGAACCTCACAACACCTCTAGGAATAGTTAAGAATTACCTCCATTGTAAAAAGAGAAACTGAAACATGGAGTGGTTAACTTCATAATAGTTCATTCCCCTTGCTCAACTGATTTCCATGTTTTGTTTTGGGTATCGCTTGTACACAGATATAACTTTTTGTATCTCCTTCACTATGTCTTTTTACTTGGTTTTCTTTCTTCAGCTTCAACTCCTGTCTTCACCTTAACTTCCTTCAACCCAATTCAATATTGATAATCTGCTAACAGATAAGAGTATCCTTCGATGAAAGCTCTACCAACTACATCTCCCTTCTAAACTGGTCATCCTGGTATCCATTACATACCATCTAGAAGCTAGGAACTCACCACATCTGCCTTCTGTCACATGTATAACTGTAACACTGCCCCGCCCAATACTCTAGCACTCTTCCTTTCAACCATGATTCATACTGCCTTCTCCTGTCTCCAATTACTGTAATTCCCAGCTCTCTAAAGATCACTATGTCCAATAAGGGGAACACAGTCTCTGTATCCCCAAATCTTAATTAGTTTTTCATTTAGTTCAAAATCCAGTATAAAATTAATCAAAGGATCAATTCCCTTACCTAATCTCAACTCCCTTTTCTAACAATTTTATATACTCTCTGAATACCAGACTTCCTTCTGTCTCTTTCCCTGACCCCTCCACACTGGGTATAATAGATCTCTCTCCCTCACTGCCTTCCCATAATTGTGAACAGACTCTCTATATTTCACTTGATTTTCTTAAAAGCCCATCACAGGACCCAACTCTTCTACCTGACTAACTCTTAGCCCACTTAAAAAAAAAAACCAATCCTAAATTATTCTGGGTCTCTTTGTTGCCCCGTATGCAGTCTTCCCTGTCCTAACTTAGTCTCTTTAAAAAATCCTCTTATTCTGCAGGAAACATTTACACCCCAACCCTACAACTGCATGCAAGTGATTGGGCCCCTTTACACTGACCCAGAGCCTCAGTGACTTCAGTGAAGATTCGCACTGGGGTATACATGTGCAGGAGCTAGCTATCGAAGATCCTGAAATATAAGTTAGACTGGACAGAAAAGGAATAAATTTTCTAAAGAAACTCTCTGTTGTTAAAGGAAGCTCAACCTACAGGATAGGAAATCCCATGCAGGATAGGATGGTATATTATAGAGACAAGATTGTATGTATTTGTGTTTGTACTCCTGCCCTAAACTAAACTAAAGACGCTGTCAGTATGGTTTGTTGAAACCCATGTTACTATTACTATTTTACGTATATGGCTGATCAGCTACGAAGTAGTGGTTCATTTTTCAGATGTGGATTTCATATTAAGCTAACTTTACATTATTTCAGTTTCTCATTTTACTTAATGCACAGTGTGGTACTGAGAGGTAACTGAGCACAACTTTCAGATACAGAGATCTTCACAAGTTCCTCCCTTCCACTATCATTTTCTGCTTTCTTCTAAATTTTAAAAGTGCAAAAGAAAAGATTTTCTAAAAAAGGTTACAGACAGGATAAACTAAGGGGAAAAGATAATAAATGGCACAAACCAAAGGTTGCCAGAGGAGAAAGGAGAATCCATAGGAAAGACTTAGGGTTGCCAACTTTCTAATCGCACAAAACCAAATACCCTTGCCCCACCCCCTTCCCAGGGGCCTCTTCCCTTCTCCGAGGCCCCTCCCCCTGCTCACTCCATCCACCCTCCCTCTATCGCTCGCTCCCCACCACCCTCGCTCACTGGCTCATTTTCACTGGGCTGGGGCAGGAGGTTGAAGCGGGGGGGGAGCTGTGAGGGCTCTGGCTGGGGTGCAGGATGAGGTTCCAGGCTGGGGCCAAGGCGTTCAGAGTGTGGGAGGGGGCTCTACGCTGAGGCAGGGGGTGGGCTCTGGGGTAGGACCGGGGATAAGGGGTTTCGAATACAGGAGGGGGGCTCCGGGCTGGGGTCAAGGGCTTTGGAGTGTAGGAGGGGGTTCAGAATTGGGGCAGTGTGTTGGGGTGCAGGAGGGTGTTCGGGGTGTGGGCTCCAGGAGGGAATTTAGGTGCGGGACGGGGCTCAGGGCTGGGGCAATGGATTGAGGTAAGGGAGGGGGTGAAGGGTGCAGGCGGCGCTTACTTCAGGTGGCAACATGTCTCTTGGCTCCTAGGTAGAGGTGCGGCCAGGTGGCTCTACGCGCTGCCTCCACTCACAGGTGCCGCCCCTGCAGCTCCCATTGGCCACGATTCCCGGCCAATGGGAGCTGAAGAGCCAGCGCTTGGGGCGAAGGGGCAGCGCATGGAGCCCCCCTGGCTGGGCCTCCGCCTAGGAGTGAAGGGACATGTCACCGTTTCTGGGGTGCGCCAACCAGATTTTTAACGGCTCGGTCAGCGGTGTTGGCCGGAGCTGCCACGGTCCCTTTTCAACTGGGTGTTCCCATCAAAAACCAGACACTTGGCAACCTTAGGAAGACTGCAAGCTCACAGTAGGGCCCATCTAATAAAGCATTAAACTACTGAGACGTTGGCCATTAAAGCAGCAAGCAATCAAGAAAAGACTAGAGAAGGTTCCAATCCCCCGGGGAGAATGAATGTTAAGCCATAAACTGATAGAGAACAGAGAAGAAAAGAGTCAAATCAGGATTATGTTGCATCAGCTAATTAGTTCCTTAAACCTAGAAATAAGTCACAAAACAAGATTTTGACAGCTGGCACTTTAGGTAGATTGTGTCTTACAATGTTCAATGATTAAACAGGAGATGCTGAAAAGCTGATATTTAAAAGAATGCTATGATTAGTAGGTATAGGAAGGAACATAGAGAACTTTTCTATAAATAGGAAACTAACAACTAAGTCTTTAGCTTGCAGTGTTTAATGATGGCTTGCAAAAGAAACCATATTGAATTTGTGCCTTTCCCCCCCCCCCTTCTCCTTACAACGTATATGGCACCCCTCAAAGCCAAAGGATTTTTAATTATTTCAAGGAAGTAGAAAGATCAACTTGGCTGGTATTTCTAAGGTAATTGCCATGTCAAATCCAGTGTTCTTTCTTGGAAAACTCAAAAATATGTATTAAGAGCATTCTAAACCCTTAATTGAATGAGTGAGGTTGTTGAATCCTTAACATAGATATATTTTATCCTAACTTTTTAAACTAAAAAGGTGGTGTTTTTTAACAAAAACAAATCACTTCTCTTTTCAGTCATAAACCTACCAGTTCTCCATTCATCCACTCAGTCTTTCAAAGTATATTAGACCATATAAAAGACAAGTAGAAAAAAAGCTTCATTAAAAACAACACCCACACACCATTCTCAATCCTCCTTCCCCCCCCTTTTTTTTTAAACTTTGCAGGTTACTTGTAATGTAAGGAATGTTGCATGGAAGGAGAATAAAGAATGGGAGAAAAAGAAGTTGAAAATGATGGCTGAGAGGTAGACAGATGAGCAGAAGAAGCTTAAACTTCTTGCAGAAGTCAGAAGAAAGATTCAAAGAGAGTGGTGTTATGTGATGCTTTGGGAAATTATGTACATAGGATGTTTGATATTATGAACGCTGTGTGTATCTATATCAAATTACAAACTCCATTTTGATGGTACGGCTAGTCTGTGCTTTCTCTGCTGTTTCTTACCTCCATCTTTGGAGGAAAATTTCAAGGGGTGGTTACACCAGGCTAAAAATGGAGCTAAATCTTGATGATGAGCCATTCAAATAGAGCAGTGGTTCTCAACCAGGGGTCCGGGGCCCTGTGCAGGCCTGCGAGCGGGCTTCAGGGGGTCAGGCAAGCAGGGCCAGCAGGGCTCAGGATGGAAAGCTGAAGCTCCACTGCATGGGTCTGAAGCCCAGGGCCCTGAACCCCATCACTTGAAGCTGAAGCCTGAGCAATGTAACTTCGTGGGGGCCCCCTGTGGCGTGGGGCCCTGGGCAACTGCCCTGTTTGCTACCCCCTAACGCTGGCCCTGGCTTTTATATGCAGAAAAACAGTTGTTGTGGCAGGTGGACCGTGGAGTTTTTATAACATGTTGAGGGGGCCTCAGAAAGTAAAAGGTTGAGTATCCCTGAAATAGAGCACTCAGACGAAAAGATGGCTGTGATGGGGCATCTGCCCCACACTGGGCTCTGAGGGGTTAACAGAGCCCTAGGGAGGCTGTGCAAGAGGCAGCCAATCAGAGAAGGGCTGAAAGGAGCACCCAATCAGGGCCAAGCAGGCACGTGTAAAAAGGGAGCTGCAGGACAGAGGAAAGCAGTTCTCTGCTGGAAGCCCAAGGAGGAAGGACTGTGTCTCTGGAGGGCTGAGAGAATTGCCAGCCCCCTGGACAGAGCAGGGACCAGGGCAGCGAGAGACAGGTTTGCAGGTGGAGGCCTGAGGTAAGGGCAAAGAGGATGCTGGGGCCACAAGGAAGTATTGGCTGCAGCAGCCACTAAGGAAAGTGGCTGAACAGTGGACTGCAGGTCCCCCGAAAAGTGGGGAGCACAGTGTGTGGCACGGCCGGAGGGCTGTGTTGCTGAAGAGGATGCCGTGGCCCTTGGAGATACATGGGTCCTAGAGCAGGAGTGACAGTGGTGAGGCACTACCAGAAGAGGGTGCACTAATATGCAGAGCTAATTCCCAAGACAGCCAGCAGGAGGTGCCAGAGTGGTGAGTGCACCCCGTTACAATGGCTATCGCCCAGAGCAAACCAGTTTTTCAAGTCTGAACTCCAGGTGGGCTGGTAACTAAGGAATGGATCAATTGCTGGGAGACTATGGTCATTAGATGAAGCTGATCAATGGGTCACCTGACAAAGGGGACTGGAGGTAATAAAAAAAAATTTCCCATCAGCCATTTCAAAGGGGGGGGAGGGGAGAAGGAGATGATGATGCTGACGACAGCTAGTCTAGACTCCATATTCCAGAAGAGAAGCCATGTGCAGGTGGGAAGGGGAGAGAGAGAATCCTAGACTCCTTAAAAGACTGTGACCTAATCCCAAAGAACATCTCAAAAGTGGTGAGGAAACTGAGGCAGGGAAATACAAAAAGGCACTTTATTGTTTTGTCTAGCTATGTATATATCCTGTGCTATCTAAAGTAAAGAGTGATTGGTTTTGGAATCTCTTATGATGTCTGTGTGTTGTATGCTTCAACTATTAGGTAAACTGTAACCTATGGTGCCCACAAACTTGGAGCTCTGGGAGTGCTTAAGGTACTGGATGGCCCATGGAGGGGTCAGCACTAGTTCTGAGAGATTAGGGCAGGTGCACTGTGAGGTCCCACTTCTGTGAAGGGGTGACAGCCTGTGCTTAGGAAGTATGCTATAGGCCACTCTGAGACTACTCTGGAGCCTATTCAGGTTCAGGCAGCTTACAACACACAGGCCTAGCATGGTGGAACTTAGAGAATTCATCAAGTTGTTGTATTTTCTTGGAGGAGCTCTACCAGAACTGTAACTCATTATTAGAGTTGCAGGGAAGAAAGAGAAGCAGTTTTATAAGAGTTAGAAATGAGATACATGTAGACCAGAGAAACGACCAGATGAGAAGTGACCAGGCATGCACAAAGGTTTCTACAATAGAAATGGAGAAGAAAGGAAGAACTACAAGATATAGTAACAACCTAGATGTGGGGAGAGAAGGACAAAGGAGTCAAATACCACCAACGATATGTACCTGGACAACAAGGATGATAGTGAAATTTGACTGTGATATAAAGGATAGATCAAGAGAAGAGTTGGTTGTGAGTGGGGAATGGAGAGCTGAAGGAGAGGAGAAGGGAGTTTTAGTATGTTTATTTTAATTTGGCAATGGGATATCCAGGATAGTTTCACAAAGGGAGTTGGAGAGGAGGCTGGAAATATAAGGTAGAGCTAAAACCAACCCAACCCAAACCAGTGACGACTAAAGAACCAAATTAAGTCACTGCATCCCAGTTGTCTGCTTGACTCATAATACAGAGGCTCTGGACTAACAAATTTAGTCACTGTTGGGTGTTTAAAAGTTTTTGAAACATACCTTGAAGCTGCTGAAATCGATTGCTAGCTTCACATAACTTTTCCTCTGCAGAGTATCTTTCAAGACCAGCATCTTTTCTGGCAATGACAAGTTCATACTCCAGACTTTGTCGAATGGCCTCTCCTTTCTCAACTTCAGATCGCAACCTGGCAATCTGGCTTTCATAGTTGGACAGCTAGAAGAGGAATCCGTTTTAGAAACTATTAATGTATCTATCATTAATTATAAAACTTATGTATTAACTTTTCAAAGAAACACTAATAAAGAGAGGGATTTTTTTCCCCCAGGTCAGATTGGTAGGGACCATGGGGAAGAGGGGTAAAGGGAGGGCTTGTCTTTCTTTGCAGCATGTGGGTGCAGGTCACTTGCCAGAATTATCTGGGAATATCTCACAATCAATTCCCTGCCGTTGCAGGGTCCTCAGGCATTGGTGCACCTTTCTCCCTCCTATTCTCTCCCTGTGGCAAATAACACTCTAGTCTCCTGTGGGCTGTAGTACTTTGGTCTAATTTCCGTTTTTGGGTTTAGTTGTGGATGCTGGGTGGTGTTGGTGGCCTGTGATCTACAGGTCACACTAGATGATCTGGTGGTCTCTTTTAGAGTCATAGAGTTTATGGACAGAAAATTTTAAAAGTTTCTAGATTTTATTTCCACTTAAGTCAAAGGCAAAACACTCATTGGATTCACTAGTGCAGGGTTGGGCCCTACGGGTATTGTATACACCAGGGATTGGCAACCTTTGGCACATGGCCTGTTAGGGAAATCCGCCGGTGGGCCGGGACGGTTTGTTTACCTGCAGCATCCGCAGGTTCGGCCGATCACAGCTCCCACTGGCCACGGTCCGCCGTTCCAGGCCATGGGGGGGCTGTGGGAAGTGGCGGCCAGCACATCCCTCGGTCCACGCTGCTTCTCGCAGCCCCCATTAGCCTGGAACGGTGAACCGTGGCCAGTGGGAGATGCAAGCAGCCGAACCTGCGGATGCTGCAGGTAAACAAACCATCCCGGCCCGCCAGCGGATTTCCCTGATGGGCCGCATGCCAAAGGTTGCCGATCCCTGGTATACACTGAGGTTGGAGGTGTAATTGCAGCATGGGTTTACTCTTTAATCTATCTAGCACACCTAAAAATATCAGTGAAGACCTGACAGAACGGGCTGTACAAGCTCCCGAGGGGTCCTGGGTACGAACCTGTGTTGCTAGGCCATACTGAAACATGTGCTGTAATGTCTTCACTGCTAATTTTAGCTCTACTAACTAGATTAATGCTCGTGCGGGTATGCCAACATGTGCTGCAATCACACCTCCAATTGCTGTGTAAACATACCCTAAAATATGGCAATGAATGTCAATGGATACTAGTCCGGACATCACAATCAAGAAGTTTTATTTATTTGTTTTAAAAATGAACTCATCCAATAACTTTTTGTAAAGCAAATATAAATACTAACATTCCTTTGTTCATTTTCTAAAAATCATGTGGAGTATCTGAAGAAAATCTGTAACTTGATAATATTGCTCTCTCCTCCCTTTAAATAAATGGCTGCAAATGAGGTAGACATTGCATCCAAGTGGCAGTTTGCAGGTGTATTTACTTAGAGCTTTTGCATCAGCATTTTTTTCAGTTTGTTAAATCTGAGCATGCTGACAATAATCAGACTAATAATAACCACCCAGCAGCATAAATACTAATATACAATTAACTGAATCAACAACATTAAATAATCAAATGGAAACAACAATTTAACTCAGCCAGATAACAAATTATTAAAAAAAAAAAAAAAAAAGGAAACTTCAGAAAATCCTTTGGCCTCCAACTCACATAGGAATGTACATTCATCCTTCCCTTCCCCCCTGCCACCCACCAAATCCTATCAAACAAATGGTTTTGCAGGGTGCTCAGAAAGTCATCAATTTCAGACTGGGGGAGGGCAGGGACAATTTCTGGAGTCCCAGGGCCCTCCCGGAAAATGCCGTCAGCAGCTCCCTCTCTTTTATAACAAAGAGGTTCCAGCAACTATGTAGGGTTGCCAACTTTCTACTCGCAAAAAAATGAACACCCTGCCCTGCCCCTTCTGAGGCCTCGCCCCTCACTCATTCCATTCCCCACTACCCCCGTCACTCGCTCTCCCCACCCTCACTCACTTGCTCATTTTTACCAGACTGGGTCAGTAGGTTGGGATGCAGGAGGGGGTGAGGGCTCCGGCTGGGGGTGTGGGCTCAGGGGTGGGGCCAGGGATGAGGGGCTTGGGGTGCAGAAGGGGGCTCCAGGCTGGGGCTGAGGTGTTCAGCGTGTGGGAGAGGGCTCTGGGCTGCGGCAGGGATGCAGGGGGAGTGTGAGGGCTCTGGCTAGGAATGCAGACTCTGGGATGGGGATAGGGATAAGGGATTTGGGGTGGGTGCTCCTGGCTGGGACCAAGGGGTTCAGAGGGAAGAAAAGAGGATCAGCGCTGGGGTAGGGGGCTGGGGCGTGAGGGCTCTGGGGTGGGGCTGAGGATGCAGGGGGAGTGTGAGAGCTCTGGCTAGGAGTGCAGACTTTGGGATGGGGCTAGGGATGAGGGGTTTGGGGTGCATGAGTGCGCTCCGGGCTGGAACTGATGGGTTTGGAGGGCGGAAAGGGGATTGGGTCTGGGGAAGGGGCGTTGGAGGGGGTCAGGGGTGCAGGCTCCAGGCAGCACTTACCAAAAACAACTCCCAGAAGCAGCAGCATGTCCCCCCTCCAGCTCCTATGTGGAGGCGCGGCCAGGCGACTCTGCGCGCTGCCCCGTCCGCAGGCGCCGCCCCCACAGCTCCCATGGGCCGTGGTTCCCGGAGCTGCAGAGTCAGAGCTTGGGGCGGGGGCAGCATGCGGAGTCCCTGGCTGCCCCTGCACGTAGCAGCCATAGGGGGGGACATGCCGCTGCTTCAGTGAGCCACACAGTCACAGAGCCTTAGCTCTGCCGTGCTACCGAGCGCACTTTTACCGGCCCAGTCAGCAGTGCTGACCGGAGCCACCAGGTCCCTTTTCAACCAGGCGTTTCAGCCGAAAACCGGACATCTGGCAACCCTACAACTATGGCAGTACATCACAGGGAAAGGAGCAGTCTCTGAAGTAAGAAGGTCTTAGGCCATTTGGAACTTCATAGTCACTGTGACCTACACCTTAAACAGTTCATCACTGTAATTGCCCATACAACTGCAAGAGATCTTTAGTGTGTACACATTTTGTCTGTATGCATGCAGACTTTAAATAACCTCCTTTGGTCACAAGTAACTGCCCAAGGTTACCCAAGAAAACAGTGCAAAGTTGGAAAAAAAGAATCCTGGTCTAACTCCCTGTCCTGTGCCACCCGAACTTCCTTTCTCTACAATAATCTGAGCTTGAAAATTAGGTACAGAATAATGAAAACCCTTTCTACCCTGGTGTTTGAACCATGATTAAAGAGACAAAATCAACTTAAAATATCAAGCTTCTGTCTGAATGTTATTGTTGTAACGAGCCCCTAAGATTGTTATAACTGAAAGATTAAAGAAAAGGTACTCTTTTTAGTTTCCCTCCATTGTCAGTCTTCACTGTTTCAGTCCATCCTTCAAACAGCAACATGGGAGAGAAAAAAAGAAAGCCAGGAAATGTGGTTGTTAAACCACAAACATTAGTTAAAGTGCTTAAGGGCAGTTACTGTACCCAAAATTAACTAATTTTATTTTTTTAATTACTAGATTTTAAGTTGGTGCCCTTTAAAAACAGAGTCTGAACACTCTTTTAAAAAAAACATTACCAGCAAAACCAGTTTCAAACCTGGTTCAAAAATGGTATTTGAAAACAATGTTCAGCTAAGCCATATTTGAAATATATTTTAGCTTGAACAGATCCAAAACCAAATTCAAGCTCAGTTTTGAAATATGGTTCACCGCCTAGTGCACCCAGGACCTTGGAATTCCTTTCATATGGAGATATTTTGCAAAAAAAAGTTTGGGTTGCTAGCCATCACCAAGGTTTTCAAAAAAGTAGCACAAACTTCTCGGGCTAATCAACCAACAGACCACTGGCAGCTGCTAACATGTTTACTAGGATTCCCTACATTTTGACCATTTTGGGGGCTGAACTAAGTGATAGCAATAGTGGGAAACTTTTAGAAAACGTTTTTAGTGTAGATGGGTCCAAAGTTGATTACTACTGCTTCTATACTCACTGTCAAATTTACTTTTTAATATACATGCTTTATACTGCTAAGCTTGACGTTCAAGTTCATTTTAATAGATTTTTTTTAATCTTCTCTCGATTTCTCTACTGTTCCTTTATTTCAATACTTAGATTTTAAAACATTTTTCAAGCATAAGTTTTTTTTAAGATACGATAAAAGTGAAATCACTCAAAGGAAATATTCATTAAACAACACATGCAAGTAAGTTGACAAACATCATAATATTCTTCTATACATTTTATTAAAATATTAGTTATGTGGAATTGCAAAATTACACAAGCTGAGCAGTTGCAAGCATTTTAAGGTGTGTCCAATTTGGAGGTTTTTGTTTTTGCACCAACTTAATTTACAAATTACAATTGACTTCCAGCTGGATTGAAAACATAACCTGCATTCAAATTCTAATGGCCTGCAAAATAAAAAATAGCTTATTAAGAAGACTGACTTGAGTTGTATCTTGCAATCCCAGACAGTGAATTATTAGTGGAGGCAGCAATCCTCTACCCTCATCCACCTGGCAAGTGACACTTCATTTGATGCCACTTATTACTAACCATTACAGCTGTTGTCAGAGCCATTATTAAATAAAGTGAGATATTCCATACAGAGTTTGTGGATACAGGTAAATAACAACTTCCTCCGATTCCAGTAAGGATTTTTTTCAGGATGCATTTTCATACAAAACAACAATTCATGTAGTCAGCATTTCATTCTATTGTGATAATTTTGTTGCACAGGTGCTTCTAATTTCACCAGGTTGCACTGATCTGGCCAAAGCCTTATCTACAGTAGATAATCGTACCATTTAAACTTGAAACAGAGGGATGGCACTGGGAGCAAGCTGAAAGGTTTCAGACTATCCACACCAATCAGCATCACCCTGCTTCAGGTGTACATGTTTTCTGGGTGCATGGCTCAAACGTCATATGTTTCAGGATCACGCTCCATAAGGTCTCCACAATTCACTTTGCTTGCACTACCAGCAAAGCATAAAACAGAGCAGATCAGCACTACCACACAGCAAGGGGGATTGAGGAGGAGAGAAAGAAGTGATCCCTTACTGGTTAAATAAGATTTCCTCACCCACATGGAGTTCATTGCAGGACTGACATGTAAGCCCCTGCACACCCACACCAGTCTTCTGAAATCAGTGAGGATCTCCATCAGCACATGCAGAATCAGGGTCAAATGTTCAAGAGACATGAAGTGGGCACTGCTATGTCATTTCCCTTGTTTTTTTTGTTTTTTTTTGTTTTTTAAACAAGTCAGTGAAGTCTCTAAAGTACAGGCAGTAGTGCTAAGAGTATTTTAATTAAAAATATTGATTTTTTTTTCTAGGAATAAAAACTTACATCTTGGTTATGTTTAGTCGTTATGTCCAGTTTTTCTTTTTTGGCTTGATGAAGTTTCCTTCTCAGATCTTCAGTAACATCCAGCTCTGATTGACTACTATTTTGCAGTAGCCTCAACTCACTCTGGATACAGTGTAGGCTGCAAAACAGAAGTATATTTTAACTATCATTGCTTCCCTGATCATATCAATTTTCATTGTTACTGATTCGATTAAATGTTAGGACACTGCAAAGGCATAAACCCTATCAATTTAAAAGATGTCCAGCAGATCTCCGTTATTTTGTTTCACTGAGATTCAAACTTATTTTTCTGTTTACCATACAATACTATATCACCAACCATAAAATGTTGGTTACATCATTCACCTTCCTCTATCATACTACACCACACATCTGCAACCATCATTCCTTTCTGTGGCTCTTCCTTAAAAAAAAAAAAAAAAAGGGGGGGGAGGGGGGAGAGGAGATATTTTGCATACTTGCATTACCACAAAAAAGATGCAGGTTTAAGGTGCACTCTTGGTAGATGGTGAATACTCTCAACTCCCTGTTACTTCAGTGGAAATGAAGAACATTAAGCACAGAGCAGGATCAAGCTTAGCAACTGAGGCTTTATCTACACACACACATTGTACCAATTTAACTAAAATCAGTTTGGAAATGGATTTTAACTAAACTGGTTTAGAAACTTGTTTCATTAAATCCATATGCCTCATATGGCAATCTAGACACTGATTTTAACTTTTAAATCAGTTTAAAACTGACAGTTAAATAAGTATGACTTTTGTATATAGTCAGTATCTTTTCTATAGTTAACTGCTCCCACAAAAAAGGTAAACAACCAAGACAATTAAAAATAAAATACACTTTCAATGAAAATAAGGCCATAGCACATACGAAAAAAATTTATTTTCCCCAAGGTGACTTTAGGGTTGCCAGGCGTCCAGTTTTCGACCAGAACACCCAGTCAAAAAGGGACCCGTTAAAAGTCTGGTCAGTGGCACAATGGAGGCCTGGGGCTAAGGCATCCTCCCTGCCTTCCCTAGTTCCGTGTGGCTCCTGGAAGTGGCCACCAGGTCCTTGCAGCCCCTAGGTGCATGGGCGGCCAGGGAGGCTCTGTGCACTGCCCCTGCCCTGCATGCCAGCTCCGCAGCTCCCATTGGCTGCGAACTGCAACCAATGGGAGCTGTGGGGGTGGCGCCTGCAGGCGCGCGGGCAGCAGGCAGCGCTTCCCTGGCTGCCCCTGTGTCTAGGAGCTGCAAGGACCTGGCAGCCACTTCTGGGAGCCGTGATAAGCGCTGCTGGGACCCCGCACCCCCAACTCAGCCCAGAGTCTCCTCCTGCACCCAAACTCCCTCCAGGAGCCCGCACACACACACCCCCAACAACCCAACCCAGAGCCACCTCCTGCACCCCAAACCCCTCAGCCTGACCCCAGAGCCCACACCCCAAGCCAGAGCCCATACTCTCCTGCCCCTACACTCCAACCACCTGCCTCAGCCCGGTGCCATCTCCCACACCCTGAACCCCTCATTTCTGGCCCCACCCGGAGCCCGCACTCCCAGCCCAGAGCCCATACCTCTCCCAAACAACAACATCCTGCCCCAGTCCGAAGCCCTCTCCTGCACCCCTAACCCCTCATCCCCGGCCCTGCCCCAGAGCCCACACCCCCAGCCACAGCCCTTACCCCTCTCCTGCACCCCAACCTCAGCCCAGTGAAAGTGGGTGGGGGAGAGTGAGCAACGGAGGGAGGGGGTTGGAGCGAGCAGGGGTGGGGCCTTGGAGAAGGGGCGGGGCCGCAGAGAAGGGGTGTTTGGTTCTGTACAGTTAGGAAGTTGGCAACCCTAAATGACCTACAAAAGTTTGCATGATTTTCCATACAATTAGAAAAACTGATGTTTTGCATATATTTTGGCCTAAATAAAGCATTAAAAATATCACCAAAAACTGCTGTAGTTTTAAATATAAAAATAAACATTATCCTATTTACCAAACACTACTACAGTTTCCAACGAATCAGAACCAGAAAGAGATATTTACTGGTCTAATGTTGTTGTCCAATCCGAGAACATGAAAAACAAAAACATAATAGGTAAACACTACGTTTGTTTTTTAAAATGTTATCAACTTTAATTGTTTCAAGGTGTTATTAGTAATTTAGGCAAAAATCTATTATTTTAAGCATCGAATTGTCTTGACAGTGTCCATATATATTTTAAGATCTAATATTTATACTGTGGCTACTTTCATATCACAGTGTCCATTGTTTTTATATGAAATAAGGCCAATTGTTTGTGTCACAGATAATTATTCCTCTGGGTGAAATGTACTTAATAAATATGGGAGATAATGAACATTTGCAAAACTGCACCTGGATTCAGTGCAACAGAACCACAACAGCTATATAGTGTTACTATGGGAGCTATACCCAAAGGAATCAAGAATGAGGAGGAGGTAAAAATTAGTTGAGAGGCAAAAGCACAGTGCAGCTAAAAATGAAATAACTTAAAATATAAGGTATTATACACAAGTATCTCACATTTCACAGCCATTACAATAAGAAGCTAGGAGTGTGGAGGAAAATCAAATAGCGGTAAGGAGAGTATGAAGGGCTAGAATTAGTAAGAGCAACTGGGAGGAACACTGCAACACCTTGATGGTTGTAAGCAGCATAGAACAATTGGGCTTTTGATGTTTCTAAAATGGATGGGAAAAATCAGAGATGGTAGGGAGGCAGACCATCTCTGGGGCAGCAGCACAAGGGATCAACCTCCAACTAAGAAAAAGAGGGAGTGTGGGACTGAGAGGAGACCAGAAAATACAGGAAGCTAGAAAAGTATGGCATAAGGGGAAAGAAGGGAACAAGTTAGATAAGAGCTTTGAAGATGTGGAGAATGATTTTGTAGCAAATACTGATGGATGTGAACCCAGCAGAAATCTTACAGAAGGGGTGTCAAAGGCCTTTAAGGCAAGTCAGGCTCAGACTCACCTGTGACAGATCACCTTCCCCCTCATAAATCGCCCCCCCAGCTGATCCTGATGCGAAGGGGACCAGATGGCCTTGTTTAATTATTAGGCCCAGCTGGGTTTGGGTCATGGGATTTCTAAAAAGGGCTGCAAGACCTCTGGTGGGAGAAGGTAGGCCCCAGAGAAGGATAACTTTCAGGTAGAGAGCTTGGAGGAGAAATGCTGGCTCCTGTAACAGGTCCTGGAAGAAGGGAGACACCCCCTGATGGAAAAAGCCTTATGAGTTAGAGCTCTGTAGGAGAGCAGGAAAGAAATGAGAGCTGAACCAGAGGGCAGAAGACCCTTTTTATGTTGCATCTGAGACTATTCTCTAAGTTTGTAACTAGCACCTTGCTGGGGGGTGCCAAGAGAGACAACTGTTAGGAGAGTTTCCCTGGGAAAGGGGAATGTGAGTCAGGCTCAATAGTGCCACAAGGGGGTGCTGTAGAGGCTCACTCTACCACAAGGGGTCAGTGGAATCATTGGTGTGTGTACAAAGAGTCATTAATTGTATTACAAGAGTGCTAGAGGCCCCAGTCTGTAACAGGGAATCATTCATTCCTGCCCCCAAAGACTTTATAATCCAGTGGCAAGATGCCAGAGGTGGGTATAGATCCCAAATGAAGCATTAAGACAAGGCTGTCAGTAGCAGGAACATCAGGCTGCATTATTAGCTATGTATATTGTTTCAAAGTGAAGTAACCATTGCACATACAGAAGAGTTATGGCAGTGGTTCCCAAACTTTAACAACTCACGAACCCCTTTCACTAAAATGTCAAGTCTCGTGAACCCCCTCTTAAAAACGAATATTTCCATGGATTTTCTCCCTTACCTCAGCATAAATTATAAAAGCATTGATCTTGGAAATATAAAATTTGTTTTTATGACATGCTTATTACACACTATTTATTAATTATTTATCATTACAGTATTTTTATTACATTATGAAAATGGCAACACTTTTCCAAGATCTCACTTTTGTAGCTTGTATCACTTTTGATTAAGCCTGTTATAAGACAAGGCTCCTATCAGAAGTGCCAGTAGAAAAAAGGGGTGCGGAGTCAAAGCCAGAAAAGTGGGGAGCCGACGGGGGGCCACTGGAAAAAAAGGGCAGGGACCCATAGGGCGCCATGCTGACGTGGGGGCGCCACATGACCCTTGTCGCCCCCCCCCCATACTGGTGCCTCTGGCTCCTATGTTTCATCAAGGAGTATCTGATGTGAAAAAGCATGAAGGTATTTAAGAAGCCAACTGAAAGAGTTCCTCCTACACAAGCATTCAGGTCTTGAGCAGTCCAGGCAAACAATGCACGTTACAACAAAGCTTAAACTTGTTCTTCATAATAATTTAAAAACAACAGTAGCGGACTATTTAATTTTAAAAACAGCAAAAAATATCCACCTCCCTTTCTATTTCGTAAAAGGAGACTTGAAGTTTAAAACTCCTCAGTGTGATAGATATGCTTGCTTTGATCTGCTTAGCTCTTGGAAGTCCCCAAGGCTCCTGGCTGCTGGCCCGTGCTGCCCGGGGTCCCTATGGACAGTTCTGTCCGCCATTAGGGAATTTTTTCCTGAGAACCCCCTGTAACATTTTGTGAACCCCCAGGGGTTCACGAACCCCAGTTTGGGAACCACTGAGTTATGGAGAACAGGACCTGAAGCATCCTGCACTTCTGAAGCTCTCTCATGGCAGCAGCAACATGTAGGGTATGTGTCTTGCAGACTTTCCCTGGTGCTGCAGTCTTTCCCTGCAGCAGGGAAAGGCTAAGATAGCATGACACTACACTGCTAAATGTAGGCCCTGCTTGGGTGTGCAGAGAGCTATGTAGGGTACATAGCCTAAGTTTCTGCCATGTCTTTATTCGCCTAAGCAGTGCTTTACTGTCTATACTGCTACTTATACCCATGCTAGGGGGCCATACTGTGTATGTACTCTACATACTGGTGTGAGGAGTGTAAAGTGCCCTGAGATGGTGAAGAGTGGAGATGAATGAGTAGCCAAGAGACTTGTAAGGCGAAGAAGAGAAATAGTAGAGCTATTCCCCTCTCACCTTCAGAGGAAGGGAGCTCTCCTAGCAAGAATGGAGAGAGAGAAAAATTAACTGAATTCATATTTACAGTGTGGCTCTCTGCCTCACTCTAATGCAGTGGTGGGCAAACTACGGCCCACAGGACCTTCCTGCCCGGCCCCTGAGCTCCTACCTCGGGAGGCTCGCCCCCGGACCCACCCCTGCTGTTCCCCCTCCCCCGCAGCCTTAGCTCACCCCGCCGCCGGCGCAAAGCTCTGGGCGGCGGGGCTGTGAGCTCTTACCGGAGAGCGCAGCTGCAGAGCCCGGGCCTGACCCGGTGCTGTGTGGTGGCATGGCTGCCTGTCCTGGTGCGCCATGCCGCCAGCCACCGGTGCTCCAGGCAGCGTGGTAAGAGGGCAGGGAGCAGGGGGGGTTGGATAGAGGTCAGGGGGTGGGGAACAGGGAGGTTGAATGGGGGCAGGAGTCCCCAGGGGGCAGTCAGGAAGGACGGGGGGTGGATGGGGTGGCAGGGGGCAGTCAGGGGCGGGGGTTCTGAAGACGATCAGGGGACAGGGAGGAAGGGGTGATTGGATGGGGCAGGGGTCCTGGGGGGGGGGGCAGTCAGGAATGAGAGGAGGGGTTGGAGAGGGGGCGGGGGCCAGGCCATGCTTTTGGGAAAGCCATTTCCCCCAAACCTCCCACTAGCCAGCAGCAGATGAAGAAGAGGTTGTCTAGAACAGTTAACATATCACACTGCCAGGCTCTGATTCAGCAAAAGACTTAATTACGTGGTTAAGAGTTTTGAAGAATTGGGGCCTAAACACACAAACAGCAGAACCAGCAAGCAAAAAAACCCCACAAAAAACAGAGTCAGACCAGTGTGGCAAAGTTGTATATTTCATGTTTGGACATTATAGCTATGGAATGAAGTTTTGGAAGTACTATAAAAACCAAAACAGCAGCATAAAGCAAATTACTGAATTTTTATTTATGGTATTTGCTACATTGCCTCTGAAATCACAATTCAACAATGAGCTCTTCCATAAGGTAATTTAGGTTGATTGCCATGAAAATCAAAACATTAGCAACAACATTAATAGCTCTTGCCCCTTCAGAATGGCTTTAGACTGAGGTGCCTTCACTTCAAAGCACAGGGTTTCAGCAAAACAACTAAGTCATTAGGGTAGCAACTTCTAATATTTATTATAAAATGGATTAAAATTAATGTAATTTAAATTAGACATTTTAGATTGCGTACTTATACTCAAAGTGTAATAAAGAAGTCAAACGACCTATTAACACTGAAATGGATTTTTTAAAAATAGAGTAGCAGGAGAAGTTGTGCAGATACAGAAGAGCATATGCCTCAGCTATGCAATAAATCACAAGAACAATGGCAGAGTATCCAACACACAAGACTTGCTGATATTTTACACCTTCCATGCACCCTGTGTGGGAGCTATTCCTTGTACATACATACATACATACATATTATATATATATAATATATATATATAATGAACAGAGGATTAACTAAAGCAATGACAATGATAACTAGAGGAGATAACTAAAGAGAACGTAAGTGGTAAGGCTGAACGAACACACACATACATACAGATGGATTTTTATAAGAACTAACAGAAGCTGTTTGTTTCTATCATCATAAAAGTAATTGTGAGATGACTGTACAGTTTTGTTCAAAGTGTTCTTGCATTATTTAATATTCCTGATGGATAATCATATTTAGAAAATATGCTTTTACCAAAATCATATACAAAATGCCATCCTTCACACTTTTTCTAAAATTCTTTAAGAAAAGCAAGAGCAAATGAAATAGCTATTGAATACTACATTGCAGGGTAATGAGAATTTAACATAGGCAACTCAGCAAATCAATAAGTTGACCTTGAAGTTCAGTTGTGTACTGCAATCATATTGGTTACAATATTGTAAAAGTTGTCTTAGGGGTTTTTCTTCACACCTGACAAAAAGTAGTGTAATTATATCTGTCACAACTAAGAGATTGATTTTTCTTCCACTTGTTAATTAGCTATGAGATTTTTCTAAACTCTTATAGCCAAAGGGGAATTCTGCATATCTATCCTAACCAAAGATCACGTTTCAAGGAAAAAGAGTCTACCACAGAATTCTGCTACCACTGCCAAAGCATTTAGGAGTCCTGTACCATCATGATTTAAATGACAACAGCTAGTACTTAGGATCAATATTATTAGAATGAATCAAGGTTCTCGCTAATCGTGCTATTGTTTCAAGACATTGTATACTCGACAAAACAAAAACATTGATGTGAATGACAAGGGCCATATCCATGACCATAAGTCTGCAAATGCATCCTTCCTCTCTCCCTTCCATGGTGGCATTAAAAAAATAAAAGTGATTATGCATCCCACTTGTTCTAATAAACCAACTGGAAGTACTTGAGAAACCACTAAACTATTTGGTTTCCCAGAGGGCAATCCACATCATTTACTTAACTATAAACTAAAAGCAGAAATTTTCAGAGGTGGTGCTCATTACTTCTGAAAATTAGGTCCAAAATCTGTCTAGGTACAGAACTTTGACAAATGACAGATACACCATAGCCTAATTTTTCAACTGTTTTTTTTAGGGCTTTTATGCCAACTGTTTGATTCTCTCCCCTGCATGACAGTCCACTGCAAGGAAGCTGACAGAGAATTTCTTGTCTGAATATGAGGACCCTCAGTCCCATGGGACGTGCCTCAAGGTTTTCAGAAAGACAGTCAAAGTTTCAGTTCAATACACAATCTTCCTGAACAGATTCTTTCCAGTGCCCAAGTATCTAGGACTAGTCCTACAACTGAACTGTATAGAAAGTGTAACCAAATGCCATCTTGTCTGGCAAAGGAAAGACTTCTGTAACTCAGTGCGAATGCACCTAACTGTATTTGATGACTCCTTCTGCCCCACTGCTTTTTTCTTTTTAAATACCTTCTGTGCTTTCCTAGCATTTCTTGCACTTAATTGAAGATATCATTCATGCCCTCTGTCCTAGCTGTTGTCAAACAAGTTGTATCAGACTAGCACAAATGATATGTACACCTCTACTTCGATATAACGCTGTCCTTGGGAGCCAAAAAATCTTACCGCGTTATAGGTGAAACCGCGTTGTATCGAACTTGCTTTGATCCACTGGAGTGCGCAGCCCCGCCCCCCCCGGAGCACTGCTTTACCGCATTATATCAGAATTCGTGTTATATCGGGTCATGTTATATCAGGGTAGAGGTGTATTTATTAAGTTTTGTTTTCTTAGAATGACCTACTGCCAAACCTCCAAAACAAAGAAAAATTCTCACAGAAAGACAACATAAGTTACTGGATTTTAAAATAAGGAACTGAAGCTCACCGTTTGATTTCAGGAATAGTGTAACTGATTGGAGGGGTAGAATTCATGATGACGAATCTCCAATTTTTTAATCTATCGTGTCTGTATAACGAACATAATCTTCAATTATATTCTTTTACAGAAACTGACACTTCAAAGATTACTCTTCTCTTTGCATCATATGGATATATTAAAACCTATAACATAAAAAGGGCAGTTTATTTCTCATTGTAACAAAAGGAATCAATTGTATTTATTCTCAAATATTTATTAAACAAACAATGTAAGCTTTAGGCTCAGTCACGTTAACACTTACTACCAGATATAGCTTCACTGAAGCCAATCGGAGACAGCAAAAAGAACTATACCCCCTAGTAAGCATTTGTAAGATCAGGCCCTTAACCTGAACACTGGAGCAGAAAATGCATGTTTTTGAGGACAATATTTGATTCTAAATTTACAATAGAAGGAGAGCGAAACACACAAAATTGTCTCTTTGTAGGTTGTATCCCTCCATTTCCCTGATGACGCATTCATCTGTGGGTTTTGGGTGTTTTGGTTTTAAAGTCACAATACAGATAAATAGGCTCCATGATAGAACAATTTTAAGGTAGGTCAATATTTGGGCGTTCACTGTACGATAGTGGCCCTTAACTTAGCAAGTCCTCCTGCCGTTAGATAACATAGAAACCTGACATTTTCTACCAATTATTGTGCTGAGGTCATTAATCACTATAAAGTATCATGGATTATAGCATCAAACATAAATTTGATTAATGTGAAGATTCCTTTAGCAAAAATTCTGCATAGAAGAAATCCAGGTTTATTCTCTTAATACACTTAATACATCAAGCATATTTACAAAACAAATATTAAAATATCACCACTCAATCTGAAAAAGCTAACACTTATTTCAGCTTGAAGAATAAATTCATTTACAGTTCTCTTGGTCAGCACATGCTAGATTCAGCAAAAAGATTAATTAACCATGAAGATTTGCTTCTACATGCCATGTTAGATGGACTCCCATGCCTAGGACCTAGCCTGCAGGCCATCTTTACCATCTAAATGTTGCAGCCACGTGTTTGCCATAATCTATTTCCATCTGACCTAACGTAGCAGTCTTCAGCTCTAACAAAATTGGACTATTTAATCACTTTATATTATACTATTTCTGAAGGTTTTTAAAAACTGTACGTGTTTTCTTGTCTTTATTTTTAATTCAATCACATTCTGCAGTTTGTCTCCAGAAAACAGAATCTACTCCTCCCTCCCCCCCACAAAAAAATCCTATCACTTTTATTTATTCATTCTTTATTATATTGTTTAATAATAATTTCAGGCCAATCTAAAGTAACTAAGTTAAATTCATTGAATTACTTGGGTGTAAATCTAAAGCAAATGAGAACAGAAATTGACTTTTAATTTATTAATTTGGCTCCAGTTGCTTTATCAAACATTTCAAGCTATGTTAGTTTACTTATTTGTGATTTATAAGTTGTGCCCACAAAAATTATTTCTAAACATGTACATGCATTTAAAACTCAAATACATAACTGGTATACAACTGTCACTGACAAGAAGGCTCCCCCTACAGATTAAAGCCGTCCTTCCATCCCACCTGAAAAAATAGCTAAATATGTAATAAATGTTTTTAAAACTATAACGCACTATGATACAGTTGCTAGACAGTTGTTACATTAGCAACTGCAATATAGACAAGGTCACTGAGTCACATGTCTCTGAATCTTGTAAAGTTGTGTTAGTATTCAATTCTTCAAAAATGCTAAATAACAGAAGTAGTCCCAGTGAAGTCAATAGGATTGCTTCTCATAGTAAGCAGTAGTAAGTGTTTGAGAAACTAGGCCCTTATTAAAGTGCAAACTAGCCCTTAAGACACAGCTCTGATACAGAGAGGCACATTCCCTGCAGCGTGCCCTTTATATTGCTTCAGGGAGGAAAAGGACATATACTAAATCACCTTATTAAATGACACCCCACATCCAGCCAACAACACTGGCCAGCGCATGGAGGATGGGTTTCCTGCCTCCATCTGCTCCTTGCAAACACAGTTCAGGGGTTTGTCGACCCAGGAACACTGCCCAGGTTTACGGTCTCTTCTCCATTCAAGATAGACATCAGGGTAATCATCTGGTCACCTTCAAGTGAGTGGGTGGTTATGGCTGCTCAGTGGAAGAAGTCCTCTTAAATTGCCTAGTTAGCATCTTTTGCAACATCAGAGGCACAAACTGCTTCTTGGGCCCTGAATCAGGATGTTCAACCAACTCTGAGGTCAAAGCTACCATCCTGAACTACTTAGGGGAACTCAGAAATGGTAGTACTAAACATGGCTCCTAATCCTCCCCCTCCCACTCCAATACCTTCCACTGCATCTTTTATCTATCACTGTGTACCACCATCCTGCCTGTCATTCAGGCCTGTAACCTGGGCATCATCTTTGGTTTGGACCTCTCTCTAGGTCCTCATATCCAGGCTATGTCTAAATCTTGCAAATTATTTCTGCTCCAGTAAGAGACAGCTCAAACTCTCATCCAAGGTCTCATCATCTCGCATCTCAATTACTGCAACATCCTTCTCTTTGGCTTTGTCAAATACAATCTTGCTCCACTCATATCCATTCTACTACTGCTAAGATCGTTTTCCTAGCCCATCACTTTGACCATGTCACCCTTCTCTTTCACTCCCTCCACTATCTCCCGCATCTTTATCGAATCAAACATAAGATGCTTGTGTTCACTTTCAAGACCATTCATCGTCAATTCCCAGCCTACTTATCCTCTCTTATTTGCTATCAAGCTGTCAACTTCTGCCTCCAATGAGGTTAGCCTCCATCGCCCACTTATTACATTTTCAAACAAAGACCTTTGTGCATTGTCCCATACTGCCCACAAATGTGTTCCCCATAAATGTCTATATATCAACCTCATTATCCACTTTCAAATTCCTCCTCAAAATTCCTTGGCAAAGATACTACACAAAATTTGACAACAGTTGGACTGCTGGTGTCCTGAGATGACTGCATATGATGCTGACCAATATTGTCTCATTGTTTACTTGTACTCCCCCATCTGTCTATATTCATCTGTTGTCTCTTGTCTTATAATTAGTTTGTGTGCCCTTTGGAAGCAGGAACCATCTTTTTGTTCTGGGTTTGTACAGCACCTAGCATTACAGGGTCCTAGGCTAAGTTCCCTCTAAGCTACACGAACGCGCAGTAGGTTATCAAGGGTCACGCAGCTAGGGAGAGGCACCCTTCCCCCGGCCCAGGCCAGCCCAGCCGGAGCTGCCGCAGCCAGGGAGAGGTGCCCCCGCCTCCTTCCCCAACCCAGCCCAGCCCCGCCCCGCCATGGCTGGGGAGAGGTGCCTCTCCCCCCCCGACCCCAAGCTGCTGCGGCAAGAGATGGCTGGGCGGTGTCCTCCCAGTTGCAGCCCCAGGGCAGCCTGCACACCAAACCCCTCATCCCTGGCCCCATCCCAGAGCCCGCACCCCCAGCCGGAGCCCTCAGCCCCCGCACTCCAACCCTCTGCCCCAGCCCTGAGGCCCCCCCCCCTCCAAACTCCTCGGCCCCACTCCCGCCACTTCCATATTGGTGCACATAACAAAATTCATTCCGCACATGGACATAAAAAAATTAGAGGGAACATTGGTCCTAGGCACTACAGTAATATATATAATAAATAATAATAGTACTAAATGGCTCCCAACCGGAACTGCTTTTTCTCAAGCATAGAGTCACGTACCATCACCAAACAACTGTTGAACTAGGGCTTAGGCAACGTGGTAGCTCAAGCCAGAACCTCAGGCAGGCTTAAGTTTGGTTCTAACACATTTTGTCCCATTCACATTGTCCAGATAACTAGTAATTTTTAGAAATCACTTTAGTAGTTGGAACCATACTAGAGATGAGGCAGTGTGAAAATGTTCCTGAACTTAGTTTGAAACAAAGTAAAGAGGAAGCATGAAGTATGTTTCAGTAGAAAGCTACTAGTTTTGAATATGCAGTATTCTTTACTTTATTTAAATAACTGACTGATTTACTACCACGCTGCAAAAAACAAATAAACAAACAAATATGATATTTAATTGATGGCAGTATGAACTGTTGGAATCTCATGGGATTCCAGTAAAAAATTTGTTCAAGTAGCAACAAAAAAGTTCAATTTAATAAGTTAATATAGATCTATGATTAATTTTTCTTGTGATTTACATCTGTATACAGTACTAGGTCCCGATCCTGCAAAGACTTGAGCACATGCTTAACTTTATGCACTAGTCTTTGCAGGATTGCGGCCTTATAATATTGGAATAGGTGTTGTTAGTATATTTAAATTACAAACTTGAACATCCAATCAGCAGATTCTGCCAAAACTATCTATACTTTTATTATTGCAAATCATAATTTGCAGTGAAATCTTAAAGGAGGCCAGTTATCCTTTCACTGCAGTTATATATCTTACTGAAATATTATTTAAATTAATCTGTTAATAATCCAAAGGTATGGAATTTTTTGATACAACGTTAATAATAGAATCCCTTTAAATAAAGGAAAATGACTAAAGATCTTTCCAGTTTTAGAAATTGTTCAAAATGCCACATCATCAATATCTAGATACAACATGATAAAAATCAGATCTACACAATTTTTTTAACCAAACATACATATAAATGAATAAAGCTCTCTTGCTACTTCTGTGTATACTTGAGCAAGAGCATATCAATGTCACACCTGTAGGTCAGCTCTGCCTTGTCATTTTCTGAGCCTCAGATAGCCTGATCAGCAAGCACTAGGATACAAAATCATACAAAATGAGAACATCAGTGCTCTGCAAATATACAGTGAACATTCTAAGAATTACCATGATTTTTTTTTTCCGGAACATTTGTTGTGTATACAAAACCCATCACAAGAAGCAGCCCCTGGTTCTACACTGATTAGAACGAGCTATTTTGTTTTCTATTGTGTATAGTAACATTTTAGGAAAACAAGTTCTGAACTAATACACATCCAGCATTTTACTGATTTTGTTTATAATCCAAATATACAAACTGCCCTCCCTCCAGAGAAATCTCCACCGTAGTGCTCAGTAGTCTAAGCATTAGAATCCCAAACCACAACTCCCTGAAAACACAAGTTCACCCAGTCCTATTTTCTGCTTCCTTCACTGCACTATGAACCAACTTGTTGCCTTCCACCTCAGAAATGGCTGCATTTGAACAGGGCAATATGTTCACAACTAGTAAAGCACTTTGGAATTACTCAGGATGAGAAGTGTCTACGTCTAAAATGTTACCAAATCCTAAATGTTTTTGATGAGAAAAAGAGGCTCTGGGGAGCAGGATTCCCAGCCACAAGGACATTAAAAAGAAATTGCATCTTCATAGATAATAATGATGCTCCCCCTCACCCTCTGCTCCTCCCCTGCTCCCACATATGTCCTCGCCCCCTGCACCTCCTTTCCCCCATAAGCTCCCAGCTCCACCTTTCCCATCAGCCCCCTTCTCTTCCTGCCCCATCTGCCTCCCGACCCAGCTCCATCAGCCTCACCCCCAAAGCCATCAGCCCACCCCTGCTCGCCCAACCCCTCCCCAGTCTCCCCACCAGCCCTGCTCTCCCCGCTACCCCCCCCCCCCACCTCTGCGGGGCAGCCCTGGCGGGGAGCGGTGGCTGGCAGCACCAGGCCGGCAGGCAGTTATAGCGGAGTTTGGGCTAGGTGGGGATGGACGGTGGGACGGGCTAGGCGTTAGGACCCAGAGGTGACCAACAAACCCACGCCGCCCCTCCCTCAGCTCAAGGAGAAATTTACAACGGCCACTTCCGGTAACAACACCACGGCGACCTTGTCCCACCCCTCTGCCCAAGAACGGCGCTTCCGATTGGAAGGACAGAGCATTGTGACGCATCACGCTCCCAATGGCCGGAGACAGAACGAACGGCCTTGGTCTTGGCCCGACAGGATAGGAGTACGCATGCGCAGTAAGGTACCGCTTGAGGTGCTGGGGAAATAAGAGGTGGAAAGAGGGCCTGCGCACTGCGAGCAGTTGGAGAGAATATAAGGGAGGGGGTGAGTTCTCCTCCCGCGCTGAGCTCTGGAACTCCCGCTCGCCTTGCGAGGCAGGGCAGGAAGAGGACAAGGAGAAGATGTTTGCCGGCCTCATGCATAAGTCTCAGCAAAGGAGGGAGGGGGTCATGTTGTAGGAGAAGAATGAGAGAGAGGAGGAAGGGAAAATGCTGAGATATTGTCAAGGGAGAGACTGAAGCCATTGGACAAAGAAAGGAGAATACAGGAAAGGATGTTGACATGAGGCAGATAAATTCAGTGGTGCTGGAACTAGCTAGGGGTGCTAGGGGCACCGCCCCATCCCCAACTGAAGTAGTAATAGCAAACACCAAATACATGGTTTCCATCATCAGCACGCCCATTATAAAACATTTTCCAGCACCCCTGGTTAAGATTTCTGGAGAACACTGTTGTGGTGTGCTCACATAGGCTACAATTTAGTCATGGAGGTCACAGAAGTCATGGAATCCGTGACTTCAGTCTGTGGTGGTCGGGAGCTTGAGGTCCTGCTCCGCCAGCGAGGGCAAGGAGCGGCGGGGTCCTCCCATTGCCTCTGGTGGCCCCCGGAGCTCCAAGCTTCTTTGAGGGCAACGTACCCTGCAGCTCCAGGCCACTGTGATCAGCGGGGGAATCACAGCCTCTGGCTGCAGCAGGGGAATCCCCGAGTCCCCCCTAGCTACTAGTGGCAGCAGGGGAATCCCCCCCCCCCGAGCCTCTGCTGGCAGAGGACCCCCGAGCCCCGGCCACCAACAGGAGAACCTCTGAGCCCCCAGCTGCTGGCAGCAGAATCCCTGAGCCCCTGCCGGCAGAGGACCTCCGAGCACCGGAACCCCTGAGTCCCCAGCCACTGGCAGGGGAGCCTCTGGATGCTGGCGGGCAATGGGGGAACCCCCGACCCCCGCCGGCAGAGGACCCCCGGCCGTGGACAGGGGAATCTCTGAGCCCCTGCCGGCAGAAGACCCCTGTGTCCCAGCTGCCGATGAGGGAATCCCCAAGCCCCCAGCTGCTGGTGGCAGCAGGGGAATCCCCGAGCCCCCGCCAGCAGAGGACCCCTGAGCCCCAGAACCTCCGAGCCGCCAGTGGCGGGGGAATCCCCGAGCATCTGACCTGCGGCAACAGGGGAATCCCTGAGCCCCCGCCCGGCAAAGGACACTGGAGCCCTGAGCGGGGAAACTCCTGAGCCCCCGGCTGCTGGTGGCAGCAGGGGAATCCCCGAGCCCCCAGCCGTGGCGGGGGAACCCCACAGCTCCCAGCCACTGCCTATGGGGGTACCCCGCAGCTCCCAGGCAACATGGGAGGTGGGGGCACCCCACAGCTCCCGGCCCCCATGGGCAGCGAGGGACCCCCGGAGCTGCAGGTGGCAGGGGTATCCCGCAGCCCCCAGCTGCTGCAGGCAGCTCCCAGGGGCTCCACGCTGCTTCAGGTGGTGTGGGGATCTGCACATCCCCATTTTGTCAAATATATGTTTAGCAAAAGTCAGGGACAGATTACGGCTTCCCGTGAAAATTTCTTTTTGCCCGTGACCTGTCCATGACCTTTACTAAAAATGACAAAATCTTAGCCTTACATATAACACACCAGCTTAACCCCATGCAAGTAGCCTGTTGTGAACACAGGATACTGGGAGACACTTTATGCTCTCCTGACTTCAAAGGATAGACAATTCCCATAACATTCCACCCCTCGAGATGGAGAATAGCTACAATCCCAATCTCTTCCAATTTAGTATAACTGTATAATGGGGGCGGGGGGGGAGAGGGGACATTTCCCTGTAGAAAAGCCCTTTGCAGGAGCTTGCTGTGCTGGTTCAAGGAATGCTTCAGCCTTCAGCCCAGAGATTTCCTTGAGAAAGATGGAATCAAATGAAAATAAGTTTATAATGAATGCTGAATTGCAATATTAATTTTCTTTTGGGGCATGTGCTCTTTACAGAGTTTTTTATAGTGCACATAGAAGTTTAAAATATGATAATTGCCTTGTGGGATATATCATCTATTTGGCTTAGTATAGTATATGGAACTGTTAACTCTGGCTATATTAGAATAATGTTGTAATGTGTTTGTGTCTCTTTTTATTTTATTTACCTAAGAATGCATAAATATGATACTCTAGACATAATAGCTCTAGACTCATTTTGAATGGCTTACCAGTTTTAATTCACAACAAAATTGTGAGCCTGTTCACAAACAAAACCAAACTCTTTAATCCTTTCAGATGCCAAGAAATATTTGATGTTTTCACTTTTAAAGTAACTCGGCTTTTGACCTCTTTTGAAAACACTTTGCCTGCAGCTGAAATATGTCTAGTCAGTTTTTTAGTCAGAAATAAAAGAAAAAATTTACACCCACTCTGTGCTAAATTTGCACAGCTATGAACAACTACACAAGGTGCAAGGTTGTACAGAAAAAGTCCTATAACTCAAATTTTTAAGAGATGACAGATTTCAAAAGACTACTTCCAAAGACTGAGAAAGCGGTAATGTTCTCTACAGCAGTGATTCTCAACCTATTTATCATTGTGCACCGTATAGGCGGCCCACAAAGTGTTATCTGGGCCGCAGTTTGAGAACCACAGTGCCCCCCACAAACCCCTATGCCCTGCGCCCTCTACCCAGGGACCCCTCCACAGAGCGGGGCCAGGAGCGGAGAGCCGGGTGGGGGGCAGGGACCTGACCCTGGACCCCATTGTGTGGAGCTGTGGGGCAGCCAGGACCCTGCCCCCAATCTCCGCTGCAACCCTGGACCCCACCGTTTGGGGGTCAGCCAGCAGCCCAAATCCCGAGCCTGTTGTGGGGGGCCGGGCGACAACCCGGACCCCGCTGCGCAGAAAGGCCAGCAGTCTGGAGTCCACTGCACATCAGGGCAACTGGGAGCCTGGAACCTTTAACAATAGCTGAGGTGGACCCCTGCTGTGTGCTAATTGGGCTGCATGCAGGCCGCAAGTTGAGAACCGCTGTTCTAAAGACCCCAAAAGCATGATATCAAAACTAAAAAGTGAACTTATTAAATCAGATATGGACCACAAATGTAGTTATATGATTAAATAGAAAAAAGTTTAGCCAAGGAAATTCCCCATGAATATTGAACCCTTATATAGTGTAGGACAGCATAATCTTTCATATGTAAAATAAATTTTTAAATGAGTGATTTTGTGTTACCTAACATCCCTTCCTTTAAAGAAAATCTATGAAGATAGCTTAAATTAGTGCTGGGGAGAGAGGAATAAAAAGTACCTTTATCCATGTTTGGTGGGAATGACCCAAAGCACAGGAATAAAACCTAAGAATGGCTATAACAGAATTGAATATTATAGGCAGGGCTGGTAACTCCACCAACTATGATGGCCTGACACTTCCAATTATAAGACTTTTTTTTTCAATTGCTTATAGGTTTGTCACATTTTAACAATTTGGACTGAAATCTTCCAGGGTGTTTGCCTCTGGCTGAATTATTATTTTTTATTATTATTATTTTAATTTCAGCCATACAAGTCAGCCATTTTGAAAAAATGGGCTATGAAAAATACACTGTTTTGTCCAAGTTAAAAAACTCTGGTGACCTTTGTTGTTTAGGGGCCACTACTACCCCCATGTTTGGAGAAGTGACTTGAAATTTGGCAGAGAGGTAGCCTTTGCATCAGGGGTATGCCTTTTGCTGTCTCTGTGAAAATCCATCCAAATTTGGTCATATTATAAGCCTATGTAACTTGCAGTTTGCACAATGCTCAGTAAAGACTCTCTAGAGTCTAAGAGCTAAAAATCCCTGAAACTGCTGTTGCATGAAAGAAGGACTTTCCTGCACTTGTAGTTCTGGGCTGTTGTGGACCCTGCTGGATCTGGGCACCAGAACTGAAAACAGGGATCCTTTCTCTCTCCTGTGCTGTCGATACCTCCACAGCTGGGCCTAGACAGCATGGAGGAAGAAACTGCCTGGTTCAAAATTCCAGAGGAGATGAAAGATGGAGCTGGGGAATTTGATTGAGATAAGGAATCTGGGACATGGGGTATTGGAATTGGGAGGCTTGTAGTGGGGAGAGGAAAGCTGGGACTGGGAGGGGCAGGAATTGGACTGGCTGGCCCAACAAGGAGACTATATTAAGTTATATGTTCAAAAAGGCCAAATTAAGGTTTCACAAGCAACCTTAAATTCTGACATTTCCTAGCTTTTCAGTGTTTGATTTTGCAACCTTAATGTTCTTTTGAGTGTATGACTATCAAGGGTG